GGACTTTCCAATCCACAGAAATTCAAGTTGAACCTGGCCTCTGGTAGTGGCGTGGGGCCTGAGTCCTTTAGCTTGTAACTCTGGGTGTTTCTTGGCAGCCTGACCAGGGCTCCCTGACCATGGATGTCTCTTGTGGATGTCCCTCACACAGGCAATGTGAGAGTTTAACACTGGGAGCCCTGAGATGAAGACAACCTTGGGCTACTCTTAGTTACAGGTCCAGCTGCCCCTCCCTAACACGGCATCTGACCAGCCAACCTCTCCAGGAGCTGTGGCAGGTGCGTGGACTGGAGTCACTCACCAGCTGTTGCACTGGACAGCACCTGCTGCTCCATTCCACCAGTGCGCTTCTCCCCCAAGGCCTCTGGAGTTGTGCACTTTCTCTGTGTCTCTGTAGATTCAGTCTTCCTTTCTCACAAACCACAAAACCAGGAGCTAGGGAAGAAATGCAGACTGCCCCTTCCTTTTTCTGCATTGTGCTCTGTCTCAGTTTCTCTGCAGGCTCCCTTCAGATCCTTCCTGGGTCCCAGGGGTCCACCTCCCTTCTTTTCTTCCCCCAGTTATTTTCCAGTGTCTGGATTCTAAATCTTGGAGACTTATTTACTGCTGTTTATTCCTCTGCCATCTTCCCCAAAGTTCCACCTTGTCTTGGTTACTTTTCTCACATTGCTGACACAAAATACCTGACACCCAAAGTTATGGAAGGGAAGGTTTATTCAGCTTAGTCTGTGGAGGTTTCAGTCCATGCTCGGCTGGCTCCAAGGCAAAGTGGCACATGGCAGAGGGCAACAGTTCATGGCAGCAAAGCAACAGCAAAAGAGAGGAAGAGTGGCAAGCAGCTTCTTTCCCTCCCTTACACTGTATGCAAACTACCTGCTGCAGGGCGGGTGTAGCATTCACACCCATAATACCAACACTGGATCATGAATGAATCATAAACTCTAGAAGTGTGCCCCATGACTGCATGAGGCTTTGGGGGTCATCCAGACACAAACCATAACATCCCTATATGTAATTTTGGAGCTTTGTACTGGGACACAGATTTCCTGGAAACATTTTAATCTTGTCAAGCCTTGCTTTTAAAGTTAGAAGCTGGGTGTAGTGGTACATGCCCATAATCTCAGCACTCAGGAGACAGAGGCAGAACATGATTTCAAGATCAGCCTGGCCTACATGGCAAGGCCCTGTCTCAAAAAAAAAAATTAAAAATTAGAAAAAAATAGAACTAGCTAAGCTCTTGGGGCTAATCTGACCCCACTCTGGACAGGAACCTTTCACAGACTCCTGCAGGTACACCAGCTTTTCCTGGCCCTTGCGCCTGTGCTGGGTACACAAAGACTTGAGGGGTGCCCACTGCAGCCCTTTCCCTCTCCAGTACTATAAATTCTACTTGTCTTGGCCTCCTGTGTTCTCAGTTCTGTTTTCTCAGCTCAGAGCAGCTGTGGAGTTGAATTCCTGCCCTGTGGTGCAGCTGTGCACTCTCCAGGTGGGAGACAGGGCTCACATGACTCTTTCTCTGCACAGTACGTCCCACATGTCTCTTTTCCAATACCTAAAAGCTGTTTTCTAACATCTTATCTGGCTTTTAGTTATTCAAGCAGAAAGAGAAACCCCGTTCCTGTTGCTGTATCCTGGGAGCGGGAGAAGCTTGCTGTTGGACTCTGCATCGCTAATGGATTTTTTTCCCCAGCAACCAGTAGGCATCTACCAAGGCAGGCCCTGTCCCCCTGCCTGGGAGGGAGTATCTTTCCTCCCACCTAAATCCCCTTGAAGAAACTTGCAAATACTGTGCCTTCACAGCAGCCAGCCACCTTTCATTGGCATTTTGTTTTCACATAATTTACCAGGGCAGAAAATCCTACTCCCAAGATCTGTGTAAGGCTCCTAACATCTCAAAAGCCACTGCAATGTCTTTAAGGCTAAACTACTCTCACTGAAAATAGGAAGACACAAAATGTGAATCATAAATACTTGGAACTGAAGAAAGCCCATGGCACCCAACTTAGGTTGGAAATCATGGTTAGACGCTAAAAGCCCTGCCCAGACCCTAGGGGAGAACTGTTCCCAGTGTCTCAGGAGGACAGTATTTCCCAGAGCACCCAAGGAGTTGGCCTGCTTAGCTTAAGGTCCCCACCTGCAAGGAGGAGCTCACTGTGCTTCTGTGGTAGATGTGCCCTTTAACTGTGCTCTGAGCTAAGGAAAGCAAGAAAATACTCTTTAAACCAAATCCTTCAGTGGGCAGGATAATCAATGTGTGTGTGGGAAATCAGACCACGGTGGTTTCATACCTTTTTCAGAATTACTTCTGCACAACTTAGATCCTCTTCCCCCATTCTGGAGAGAATGGAGAAATGAAATCAGTATCTTGAAGCCACGTAAGGAATATTCCAGAAAGAGCGGGCACCTGCCTGTAATCGTAGCAAGTCTGAGGCCATCCTGAGCTACTTAGTGAGTTCAAGGCCACCCAAAACTACACAGTGAGACTCACTCAAAACAAAACAAATGGGAAGCATCAGGGTGCTCAGGGAAAGCAGACTCATTTGGCTAAAAGGAAGAAGCTGGGTCCAGGAGATGGAGATGGTTGAATTGGGGTTGAAGGGATGGGTTGCCACTGCCTGTGGGACTCTGGGAAGGCACCTCCTGTGGGCACGGCCCTGCCAGGCTGGTGGGGCTGGGCGCTTGCAGATGCAGGGTCTTCCCTTCACCTTACACATGAGCAGGCCCTTGACAATCCCAGGCCATGGGCAGGACCTGCACTGCCAGGAGGAAACTCAGTATTTTTTTAAAAACTTTTCACACTGTCTTCCAGCAAGGGGAAGGGCCCAGCCGGCAAGCACTACCATCATGGTCAAATTTCCAACAAGTCAGCTTGTGAGCAGATAATCAGGTGAAATCCAAAAGACAAAAATCAAAGGACAGATGGAGTCTGAGTGGATCTTCTGTCCTGCCAGTTCCAAATCCAACTTGAACGTCCAGACCTGAAACGCCTTGGAGTGGCTCTCGGGGTATAAATTAGACGGCAACTTGGGGAGGGTGGGAAGAGCAGGGTTCTCTTGAATTGTTTCCGTGTCATGTAGTATAAAGGGCACCATTAATTCTCTTTGCCTTGTAAAAGCCATTGGTTATGACGTCAGAAGAAACCCATGTGCAGAAAATGTTTTAATAACTTACATGATGGTGCTTGGTGTTCTTGATTCTAAAGGCACCAAATGAGGAAGCCAAAATTCTCTAGCAGTTGCATATTTTGATAAGGAAAATGTATTTCTGTCTTCCAATCTCCATTCATGACCCAAGTAATTTAAATGTACCTGGTCTGCTTTAACATTTTTATGCAGGTATGCTTTCAGACGTGCAATAATTCGTAGAATGGTTTATTTCCAAGTATGCCTTAAGCAGAACAAATGTGTTTCTTCTACATAGTTCCTTGCCTTCATATGTAATATTAATTTAAGCAAACTTGTATTTTATGTGTTTGTAAACTATGAAGTAAAGAAATGAACATTTTACGGTGCTTATTTCATGTATCATGAGAAATTGTAAATAAAACTATATAATTTTACCTAAAAAAAAAAAATGAAATCCACTTATACGTACATAAAAAGTAGGCAAGAACTCTTAGCATTGAAATCTGGGCAGATGAGAAAAGGCACTTTGGGATCAATCTGAACCTTTGGCTTTGTGTTAAAGTCCTGCTCTGTCTTAGCTGTGCTCACGAGGACTTCCAGCCTCTTATCAGAGTAATGTAACAGGCACACGGCCTGGCTGCGCTGCCCAGAACCTCCCAGACCTTTTCCCTGTTGGCCAGGATACTTCCAACCTGACATGGTGGCCACCACCTGTCCCTCGTGACTCCATGTACAGCGGTATCGTAAATGACGTACAGGTGTCGTCATTGTTCAGAGTGTCTGCCCTCTGGAGGACTTCTACACGTGTCTCACCAGTCAGACAAGGCTTCACGCTGCCCTTACAGCTGAACAAATGTGGAAGTTACAAAATCAAGGAAGCCTCAGTGACTTAGCCCTGTCCCAAGTGCAAGGCCCCAGGCAAAAAGCAGCAGCAGCCCGGGGCAGAAGCACAAGTGTCCTTTCTGCTGGAGGGTGCTGCGTCCCTGCAGGCTTGCTGGGGCACTGGGCACCCTAACACGAACGTCTTGTGTTTTGCGTCGCGTAGAGCCTGCTGTACCAAGCTGCATTTGTGCGTAGCTCCATTTCTGTTTCCCAGGGGCAGCAGGGTCCCACATGGCATGTGGCAGGGGTTCTCTCACAGCTCCTCCTGGTATCTTGTAGAGTTCCTGCATGTCTGAGGCTTAAATTCGGAGTTTGTTAAACTGCAGATTATATGGTAATGGTGTATACTGCCAAAGCACTGAAGAGAATTTCTGTATCTGGGTTGGCGGGTGGGCAGTACTGGGACAGAACCTAGGGCCAGGTGCGTGTTTGGCACGGCTGAGCTATACCCATGGCCCTTGTGCTGGGGTGGGGTGGGTCACTCAAATACAAAGACCAAAACCAGATTTATCAAATGGCTCAGCACTGATTTCCGAACCCCCACTCTTTTCAGATGGAAACAAGTGGTCATAAAGTAGGCCTGTTTGATTTGCTAGGTGGCTGGCTTTGCGGAGCACAGCAGTGCTGGTTTGGATGGAGCAGGGACAGTGGCGCTGGGAGCTGGCAGGGCATGCTCACACTCAGGGCTCCGGATTCTGAGTGTCCGCGGCGCGTGTAGAAGCTTGTAAAACCCACCCCTAGGATAACAGAGCAGCCTTCCCGTCTTCCGCTCGGTCCCCGGGGATGTCTGTCTGGCCCCCAACGTGTAGTAGTGCAGTGACTGACAACCTGACACTGTGACGCAGGTGGTACCCTACTCAGCTTGTAAGCCAAGCTCTCACACATGCAGTAGGTGTTTAAGAAACTTTCTGATGTGACCAAAATCACAGAGAAAAAAATTGCAGTACATCAGTATTTTACTTGGTCTTTTTTTTTTCTTAACTTTTCAAAAAGGATTTGCTGTAAGTCTTCAAGTCATCTTGTCCAACCCAAAAGCTGTATTTAAGCGTCGAGGGTCCCAGCCGGGGATGCAAGAATCTGACTTTCTCAAACAGATAACCACCGTGGAAGAACTGGAACCGAAAGCAAACAACTGCACCAAGGTACTCGTTGCCCTTACACGGCCTGGCCCTGTGTGTCAGCGCTGTGTGGCTACCCAAATGTTTCCCTCCCCTAGGTCCTCGTGTGGCACACTCGGACAGAGAAGGTCAATCTGGCCAACGAGCCCAAGTACCGCCTGGACACAGTGAACATCGAGGTGTAGCGTGCCCGGCCGGTGGGGGCGGGAGGGTGCTGGGCGGCAGGCTGCAGAACGTTCAGGTACTGTGGGCTCTGCTTCAGTGCAGCCGCCTGCACCGTCACCCGGCGGACGTCTGCTCCAGCAGAGCTTGTGAGCTAGCGAAAGCGACTGGATGGTACAGAATGTGTGTCTTGTCTTCATCTGTCCTGCATGTTTTCTCTACAGTTTAACTGGAAGATTCTGTGTGGTATGGCTAAAGCACACTGCAAACTGTCATTCTAAGTGTCTTATGTACTTTTCTTTCCCCATTTGGCCTTATAATTGGTAGAATTGTGAACAGGCTTTAGAAACCAATGATGAGTATTTTGTCAACTAAACATTCTCAATTCCTGACTTTGCAACATGAACGTTTGGAAGTTAATGGGAAGAACACACTATAGCGGGAAGAAAAACCAAAAACCTCACAGAAAGGTCTATGGATTCACCTGTTTAATATAGGGAAATAACATTTTGTCAATACTAGGCACCATAAAATGTAAACACAATTACTGTCATAAACCTGGATATACCTTCAAGGATTGAAAGTAGCTTTGTTTTAGTTACCCTGTTTGCATATAGTGCAGAAAAGGTCTTCATGTTTTAGCACTATGTACATTAGCAATCCAAATTCAAGAGGCAGATAAAATTTGAATTCTTTAAACATTCATTAAGTTCTATAATAACATCCAGGTTTATCTTCCTTTCACTAACCACGTTCCCTGTTAAAGCACATCGTAACAACAGCACAGTGAGGTGAATGATGAAATAAAAAGAATTTTGATACACTAGAAAACAGTGCTCAGTGATACATTTACATTCTATTTATATGATTAAACATTTGATCATACAGTACCTTCCTACGGATTACTGGCTAATTTGGGGTGGGGTTTATACTGTTAGAGGTATTACTAACGTAACTACTTCCCTTATATGCAAACATTAGAGCTATAATTTTATTCAGAGTAAAACGGATTATGCAAGTTGACTGGGCAGCTTCTCAAATAATGTGGCTTTATGAAATCAGGGAAATATGAGCAAAGCTGCCCTGGACATGAAATGGTTTCTCAACCTGCTTTTCACCACATCAAAATAATCGGCACAGACCAACACGGTCAATCAGGTCATTCTTAATATGAACAGACGGGGGGAGAAAACAATTGTATGTACATGAGTAAACGGGAACTAGATGCATTTAGCGAGGAATGTCAGGTGTTCGTTCTGGATGAGGCTTTACCGACTGCTCATTTCCACAGCTGCGTGCTCAGCGTCTGGCCCGACGAGCTTGCCGGCCAGCCTGCCGTGGTGCTGGGGGTCTGGCTGAAGCCCGCGGCGGAGCCGGCGCTGCCCACGCCCATGCTCATGCCCGCCATCTGCTGGTTCACCTGCGGAGCACAGGAAGGCTTAGCGTAACAGGGCGGCTCTGAGCGCTTCTGCCTCCAGCCACGACTGCACGCTTGTTCAGGAATGTGAAAACCAGTCAAAGCACTGGGATAAACGCAGACTGACATAAAAATATGTCTTTATAGAAAGCAATACCTACTTTGTTTCCTGCTTACTTTCTTCAAACTTTTAGCATTGTTCATAAAGTGATCTCAATCATATTCTATTTGCCCATTTTCTGTATTCAGTTTTTTATCCCCAAAGATTAACCACAGTGGAAAAAATACCAAAGCAACCTTTTAATTTTTATCTAAGTATATGAAAATAGGTCCATTAATCTTTCAACTATATATTAAGATACTGTCCTCTCAAGATTAAAAAAATTTTCGTAAAATACTTCACAATTATTCTATAAAGTTTGTACAATGGTTATAATTTTTTGTCAGTGATTCTATGTCTGTTCTAGAGCAATTATTCTTTTTGTGTTCAAATAATATAGTAAGAGCTAATAGTAATTTCCATTATATGCTATAAAGTGAGATTATTTAATTTGCTGGTGGGGGCGGGTGCTGGGGTTGAATCCAGGGCTCTACACATGCCAGGCAAGCACTCTGTCCCTGAGCTACACCTTCACCCTGTTTTTAAAAATTTTTTGGGACAGGATCTTGCTAAGTTGCCCAGGCTGGCCTTGAACTTGTGACCCTCCTGCCTGGCTGAGGTCACAAGCGTACGCCACCACACCCAGCAACATGTTTTTCTTCCAGAGGAGGATTTAAATCAGTTCCTGAGCCTTCGGACTTTGTGATGTCCTACTTACAGACTGGCATTAAAAGGAAAGGCAAGATTGACCATCAAGTACAGAGTGAGTTCAGAAGCCATGCTCAGGGTAAAAGTGTATTATTCTATTTGCAACTTTTCAAGGACCCTAACAACCACCATGATGAAATGCCCGTGTCTGACTGCGCAGGCAGAGCCATCCTCAGAGCCACCGGCCGTCAACGCCGCTCACAGTGTTGGCGAAGGGCGTCACCCTTCTTCGCCGCTGCGAAGGCGATATCCTGCCTGCTCAAGTGTTCTAGCCAGAGGTTCCCAAAGGTACAGACCAGCATCATTCCTTTATACCATGACTGCAAAAATATGACTTGGAGCAGTCGTGGGATAAACTGAGCCTGCTGCTGTCAGGGGCGTAGGAACCTGTGTCTAAGAGCTGAAGAAAGGAGGAGGGCACCTGAAACAGCAAGGCTGCTCTCAGCTCTGAGCTAACTCAGGCAAAGAAAACTTTCTCCACATGAGGCAGTGTCGGAGACAGTGACTTGCACAACTTAGAGGAATTCTTGAGCCAGTGCATAAAAAACATAAAAATCACTGGACATGTAAAAAGAAATATAACTTTACATGGATACCTGAACAAAACATGTCTATAAATCCTAGAGGCGGCAATAACTTTGTGACATAGACGACCGCCTTAACTGCTCAAAATATTGTGCTCTGAGAATATGAGGCTGGGGTTTTTTCCACTTTGTAAACAGCGTCCCAGTAAGACTCCCGAATTATTAGTATGCAGGTTGATATAAATGGTCTTCACACACGAGACCAAAGACCTGGGTAAAGCTTGATACTAAGGTGTCAGACAGGGAGTCTCATGATGCCCATGATCATTTCTAGCTATTACAACTACATTGGGAATGTCTAACACTACAGTTGTGTTACAGTCTGAAATAGGGAAAAAAAAAATTCTTTTCAGAAGAAATATGGACAATAACAAATCACTTAAACTTCCTAATATTTGTAATACTTTCACTTTATACAACATTAGCTATTCTGTACCGTAAATCTAGACCATATGATTTCAAAACAACAACACTTCAAAAACAACAGGATTTCTCTAATTCGAAAGAAGTGGAAGGACAAATGGCCCCTACCTGTGAGAGGCCCCACTGGGGCTGCTGAGCTTGTGGGAGGCCGAACTTGCTCTGGGGCGCACCCATCTGTCCCACCATTCCTCCTTGGGGACCAACAGCATTTTGAGAAAGGGGCATCACACCAGTTTGTGCATTTCCCATAAACCCATTGGGCATGGGCATGCCCACCATCATGCTTGTGCTCGGACCCATCACGTTTCCTAGGAGGCCAGGAGCCGCAGGCACAGGTACACCCATCGAAGGGAAACCTTGAAATGTGCTTGGTGCTTGTGAGGTAAACGGTATATTTGTGGGTCCCATAAACACACCTGCATCGTAAGAATAGTGAAGAGAAAAATGAATACAGAAAATAGAGCTAAACACATCTAGCCATGCTCACCTCTATAAACACAGAAAGAGATTATCATGTTCCTTATAATAAAAAACTTTCCTCCCAGTCTGGTTTTTCCTACCACTTGGAATAACCTACACTTAAACTTTCAGATTTGGGTATTTCTACAGTGCTAGAAAATCAAGTATTACTCTGAAAAAACTTAACTAGAAAATGTAAATTTCAGGCAGTAGCCACAAGGTATCTTCTATGGTGGGGGCCAGACTCCCCAAAATAGTCAGTGTATGCTGACCCGCCTAAAACAGGAAAGGAGAACCGACTATCATTTCAGCGCATGTGTGAAACGTTGCTCATTCTTCTAGAGGAAATGGAATGGAAGACTGAAAGTGAATAAATTTTATGCTTGTATTTCACTGTAATGACTAAAAATTTCAAAGGTTTTGGAACCCATGGATAACTCAGACTGCCTGCATTGTCAAAAATTTCATGTAAATCAAATTTCAATAATTCTTTAAAGATAATTCATGTCTTATGTGCTTGTGAAACAATATTAAGTGATGTGTGAACAGCCTGTTAATTCTTGATGAATAAAGTTTTGGGACTGTTTCATTTGTTTCATAGTTGTATAAAGTGCAAAAACCAAAGCAACTGTTGCCGTAGGAAAGCAGGTAAGAAATATAACTGATATTATTACAATTGCGAAGTACTTCTAGTAAGGTCACTGTAATTCACTAAAAGCGCACTTCAAAATTAATTACCAGGAGTGCTCTGCTGTTGAATGGTTCCTGTGCCGTACAGAGATAAGATAGAGTCTTTGGAGAGTTGTTTCTTTGCTACTTCTTCTGATTTTGTGGTTTGCTCAGTGAATAGATCCAGATCCCCGGATGTTACTGTAGCGAGGGTAGCAGCTGCTGGTACAGAGGAATTCCCCTAAGATCAACACCAAAATAAGTTGTTGAATTCTATACAATGAAGCATAACTCATCTAGTACCTAAAATCCAAATAAAGTTATGAAACTAGGAACTGAGGTAAAATGGTGATATTCAAGATGACTGTTCATAAGCCCACTCAAAAACATCTAGAATGAAGGTATAATGTTTCTTAATTTCAATCTATTCATGTGAAAGAGAAACTAACGCTCTTGCACAATGAACTGCGTTTTCCAGCTGGGCTCATACAGTTTTTCTACTCCTCACATTTGGAACATAACGGGTCTAACAGCTGTATGGACATTGCCTCAGGACCACAACCGATGCTTCAAGGAACAAACTGGTACCTTAGAATAAAGAACATTTTTAAGCTGGGTGTGGTGGCACAAACCTCTAATTTCAGCACTCTGGGAGGCTGAGGCAAGAGGATCACCAAGTTTAAGCCCAGCCTGAGTGACTTAGTGAGATCTGTCCCAAAATAAATGTGAAATAATGCAGCTCAATATCTAGTATGGGTTGGGGGGTGTGGGTGTAGGGATCTGCAACTAGCAGACTGCAAGAAGTTGAAAGACTCCATCTTCTCAAAGGGCACACTGTTGGATTCTTAAGTATCTCATCGAGGGCAGGTGCTGGGTTTTGTTTTCTGAGACAAGGTCTCACCTATGTAGTCCAGGCTGTCCCTGAAGTTACCATGTTTAAGGCCAGGTTGGCCTCAAGTCTGCAGCCGTATGTGCCACCACACCGGCTTCTAGATCAGTCCTAACAAACTAACAGTTAAAATGGACACAAACACTCAGTCACGGTATATCCTGTACTCCATTTGGAGGTAAAGGAACACCGATGTAGCTATTTAATATTAGAATTCTATTTACTATCTTGCACACAGATAGGAGTCAACACACTGATCTTACCTACTCATCTCTGCAGTCATCAAATATTTTCAATATGCAAAGTTTCTAACATTCTATGAAGACTAGTAAAGGCCGCTTATGTCTTCTCAAACTGTACATTAAGGTGAGTGGCAAACAGAAGTTAAAACAATCCCCTGGCTAGAAAACCATGCAATAAATTAACACCCAAATGTTCTACTCACAAAGTAGGCGGAACAGTCATTTTCAACCCATAATGGCTACTTACGGAATGAGACACTTTGTTTTGCAAAGTTTGATAATATCAAATGTAACATGTAACAGTCCCTTTGCATAAAAGATACCTGAGCTACCAACGAATGAACAGATCACAGAGCCCAAGCGCATGAGCTGACGCAGGCAGGCAGGCGGGACCGGTGCCCTGGCTCATGCCCGTCACGCTGTGCCCTTCTGCACACACGGCACATCTGTGAGCACAGTGTGAGCCTGCCTGCTTGGCATGTACTGTTCATACCGTTAGCTACCAGAGCAGCTACATCCCTAACTGAGCTTTTTCCTCACGGTTAGAGTCTGTTCATTCTAAGAATCTGTTTAACACCCTGGGGGCTTTTCCCTGTAGATGTAAGCGCAAGAAAACCCAAAATGGTTTGTGAAACTAAAATTCCAATTTCATACAAGAGCAGCCCAATATTCCCATGACCTAAACATCACGTGTTTTTTCTGATGAAGGCAGACAACATGGAACATCTACCTGAACATGGATACCTAGCAGTCTAAAACGACAACCTTAAACAGCACAGCTGTAAGCATGCAGATGCCCCTTTATTTCTGGTGGTGTAGGTGCCAGGAAGAGAGAATGATGCTCGCCTGTCATTTCAAACTTCAGGGGGCTATGAGGCCCACCAAAGACTCTCTGGCCTTCTAGGATCCAGTCCCAGTCTGTGCCACAGGGGTGTACACGGGTGTAGAGACAGCGCACGGGCGAAGAGCTCTGTGTGCTCCACTGGGCTCTGGATCTGTCCCTCCCACCACCCATGGGCTGTCCACGCCCAGCTGCTGGCCAAGGAGTCCTACGCCCACACAGACAGAGCAGACGGTCAAGTCAACTGATTTCATACTCACATGCAGAAAGGCTTTTACTAGAACTCACACATGCTTGAAAGAAAATACCACGAGTGAAAGAATAGGCTTCAGAGTAGTTCATAATCTGGGCATTCAAACTAGTTTAAGCTCAATTTCATATATAGAATATCCACCACAATGAGTAAATCATACAGTGTATGTGTAAAATCTGTAGTTCATTTTCAGAGGTGCTATTTTTTGTTGTTGTCTTTGTCTTTTTGAGACAGTGTTGCCCTGAAGTTCAGACTGGCCTTGAGCTCACTTTGTAGCTCAGGCTGGTCTAGAACTCACAACAGTCCTCCTGCCTCAGCCTCCTGAGTGCGGGGTTACAGGCATGCGCCACCATGCTCAGCTTCAGAGGCACTATTTTTAAAATGTACCTGGATTTTAATCTTTATTAATATGTAGTTTATTTAAATAAATAGTTATACGTAGTTTATTGTTTGAGACAACATCTCACTATGTAGTTCAGGCTGGCCTTAAACTCACTGTATAGCTCAGACTGGCCTCTAGCTTGCTGTAATCTTCCTGTCTCAGACTCCTGAGTGCTGGGATTATAGGTGTGTGTCACCACACCTGGCAATATATGTAGTTGAAATAATAATTCCGTTCACCAAATGCTCCAAAGAGACAAACAGACAAGACTTAAAAACTTAACCGTCATCGTACCAGGTACCGATCAGAACGCCCTGCCCCTCCTAGGAAGGAGCTCTGCACCCTATCACAGCACTGCTGTACAGAGGAGTTAAAGAACACCCACACTGTTCCACTTACTGCTACAACAGTGAACAGAGCATGTGAAACATACCCATGCCTCAGAGGTGATGTCTAATTCTCTATGCGGACGCAAAGCAACTTGTACCTCAGTGGAACTTAAAAAAGCCTAGTAGCTCTCACTGCTTCACTGTGGGAAGCCAGGCTGAAATAAATTGCTTTTCATGCTTAGACTGTCAAATATACTAAGTGTTTCTTTGAAAGCCACAGTATTAGACAACCTGCAGCCTTGTGCAGAGCCATGCCTGCACAAATTCACAATAAATGTTAATTAATCAAAGCAAGAGTAATAATACTGTTCACCTTTTTATGTGTATTACAATAGAAGGAGAAAGGACAAAGCCATAAAATGAGCTACCTGCTGAAAATAAAGACTACAGGCAATTCTGATAAAGATCCATTTAATTATTTTCTCAGAAACCTATGTGGTTCAATTCTAGTGCTAAGTGTACAATAATTCACATCAAAATATGTTTAATGTTACTAGTTTCCTTAATACGACCTAGACTTTTTTGTATTAAAACTACCTATATAAATCAGATATGGCTCAGGTTTTCTACAGAAAAGAAAACACATTCCTAAACAGTTATGCCATACTGAAACATACTGATGATAAAGTTTAAATATAAATAGAATCTTATTGTTAGGTGCTTAAGAACTGTTTGTACCCTGAAAGTTCCTGTATTTTACCTGATGAAAATTTCATGTAATGTTAAGAAGACAATTCAAACTTTCTTCTCCATTAGTATTTCAAAAATAATCTTGATCATTAATATTACTACTCTAAACAGTTCTTCACACACACACACAAGGCAAGGGAGGTTTTTAAGCCAATTTAAAGCATAGTTTAGCTTCAGCAAAAGGAACATACATACTGAATTTGCTAGAACTTCCTATTGCAGTCACAACTAGCAAATATCCACAGTTTAAAAAACTCTGAAGTACGTGACCCTGTTCATTTTAGGTCAGGCTAAGGTAGTCCAAGTTTTTCTCTTTGCTTATCATAGATGAAGAAGCAAGTATCAGAACTTTAAATATCTTATGCTTTGTGGGTCAGATGGCCCCCACTGAAACTTTCCAACTCTGCTTTGGCAGCAGTGAAGTAGCCAAAGACAATACTTAAACCGATGGCGATAGTTGGGTCCCAATACAACTTTATCTACTCAAAATAAGCTGCAGGTTTAGTTTGCCAAACCCTGGCCTAAGGGAGTTTTTTAAAGCACTGACTCCTCAGAAACAATTATTTCAAAATTAAGTTTGTGTAATGTCTCAAAAAGCAATAATCAGTGGCCATATAAGACCATGTATTTATCACATACCTGAGCTGGGGGCATGACAGTTGCAGGTAAAGGATTAGAAATCATGGGTCCAAAGATGTCCAGATCATCGCTGAGGGCCGGCCCCGTGGCTGTGCTCCCATTGGTCACTGGTGCTTCCGCAGGGCCATCTGAGAATACAGATTCTTAATATAGAATCTCTTACATGATCTGTCCCTTTGCCCAAAGAAACAATTTTTAATATTATTTATTCTCCCAGAAATACTCTCTACCCAGCAGTTTCTAGGTATGTGCCCAAGCCCCCCTTTTAACAAATGGTACCACACTATTCACAATGTTCTGCATACTTATTTTTCGGAGGTCTCCTCTTGCCATTTCTAACTAGTTTGGAAATACACTTTTGATGACTTAAAATTTCACCTGATGAAAATTTCATGTAATGTTAAGAAGACAATCCAAAATGTATTTTAAAGTTGCAAGAAGGGGGAAAATCAGATTGTTAAGACACTATTTAAGTTGATTCTACAGGAAGCATTTATAAAATTCTCAAACAAATTCTTTCTTCAAGCAGACGCCTTTATAGCAGTGCCAAGACATGGAGCTATTATGAAGGGGGACGCTGACATAGCTTCTCACTGAAAAACGCAAATGGAAATTGTGACAATGTAACGTTTAAAAGACTCTTACACGTCCTTCTCACGTTAGGAAATAGGCAGTCCCAAGGTGCAAGAGGTGGGCGTCCCCAAGCAACGCTCTGGGGGTGCACAGCACCTCTCACAGTTTTCTTTGGCCACAACCAAAGAACAGTTCAGAGTTCCAATCTCTTGCGACTTGGAGACTAATCAGTCTTCGGTTTGAACAGTTTACAATCATAGACTCCTCAAAGATAGATCTTAAAAAATTTTAAAACAAACGGGATGCTTTGTGCAAAGTGGATACTCAAACACTTGTCAAATTTAATGAAAGCTCTTCCACCTACTACATTATTTTCACCACAACCCACAGAAATTGACTGGTTTCTCCTCTTTTTCCAAGTATAACTATAGAAATTGGAACCTTCATTTCCCTACTTAAGCTTCAGTAAATTAGACAATCATTAGCATCAAAAATTAAAAGTTACATTCAAGTATTTTTTTACTCTTATTTATATAAAGGCTTTTGAAACCTCAACTAGGTTAATTTGAAAAATAACAACTTCAAGTATATGTCAAGTTATCTTCAGTGATAATCACATTATCTGAAATGTTATAGACATCACAAAGAAGTTAATCATTAGAGTGATTAATGGTTTAATCATTAGGAAAAATTTATGAAGAAAAACTTCAACATTAGAAAATGCAACTGACTTATTTTTGGGGCAGTGAATGAAGCAAACACCATGAACTGACTTTTACCACAGAAAGTGGATCCGTTTCACAGGACACCAGGACGCAGTAAGACGATCACGAGGTTCTTCCACTACATGCAAATTTATTTTTTCATTACATCTATAAATTGTGCATCTTTCAGAAATTCGATGTCACTTGCAAATAGTATACTCTACTCCACCCTAAATATTTCCTTATCTATACTTTCAAATCTAACTCTTATGCAGCATCTAGTAGTATATTAATCTATAAAGCATCTAGTACATTCCTTGGTTTTTAAAGTCTGAGTTTATTCCTCACAGGCTTGAGGTTTACCATTAGGATTAGCTATTGGGACTAATAACATGTCCAGTGTCTCAGACCTAGAGAAATAATCTCAATTTTTAGGGCAAAAATAGCAACATATTCTTGTGAAAGACTCAAGACCCGTAAAAATGAAGAAGCCGCAAGTGCCTACTATCCTGCATAGTGATGTACATGGACTTAATTACACCGTACACTTCAAATGGTTTAAATGGTAAACTTTATGTTACATATTTTACCACAATTTGAAAACAATATACACAAGTACACAAAATATCTCTACAAAAATTATTTAAGTGTGGGTGGTGGGAGAACTGCATCCTGTGATCCTGCACAAACCTGTAAGAACTATTTCATGGGTGTGCCTACAGTTTTCTGATTTTCACCATGACAGAATAAACTAAACACCCGCACTGTTTAATGTAAGTTCCATACAGCTCACGCGCATTTTTTCCCAGGGAATGTGACTTCTGCTTTCGCCACCACACTGAAGTCCGTTCTTGCATTTTGTGGTTTTTAATTAAAATGTTAAGACAGCCTCCGGAAGCCTCAGGCCTTCCACACAAACACACCGGGCCCCCTGGAGAGCCCCCAGCACGGGTTACTGCCACTGGCATGCGTGTCAACTAACAGGATAAGCCTGAGGGGGCACAGACCCCCTTGGAATGAGACCAGAGGGGCCGCTCGCTTAGGGAGAGCTGCCTGTGCGGGAAGCTGGCACTGCTTGCCATCGGCTGGGGAAGACCCATCTCTAAAAACCCGAGGGACGAACTTCCTGCGGGGCTGGCCACAGCTTGCACGCCCCAGACTGCTGCGGCAGGCACAGAGGCTCCTCTGCTTCCAGAGATCTCCCTGCTATCTCGAAGCCAGCCTCTCCCCACGGCATCCCTTTCTCACGGGTTCTGGAGTCCACTCCCATCAAGTTTCCTTGCTGCTACAAAAGCTACACTCTGAGATTTGCTGAAAAACAAACTGTTAACCTAAATGACACCCGTCGGCCTTGTAAATACAAGTTCCCAATGGGTTTCAATGTGTTTGCCAGTTTTACATACATTTGGCTTACTAAACATACTTCTCAAAAAGTATTGCTTCAGCTCATTTTGAAGGTAACTTTTCCTTTTCTGTATTTAAAAAGGTCATTTAAAGACTCATTATCATTACCATCATTGTAGTTATCACATGTATCCTGTACGTTTTTAAAGAACATTTACATGTTAGTGTTTTTGTCCACATAAAAGATCAGACAGACATCTGCCACTGTCTCCAGGTGCAGAAACTAGGCAGAGCGCGAAAGCCACCTTCAGTGTCGCCCCGGCTTAGGCAGTGCTCCTTTTTTTAAACTACACTTCACTCACCAAAAGCCACCTAATTACAAGTGAACTGAATAACAAAGAAGCGCAGGGGAAACTGCCCTCGGAACCCTGGCCGAGCCTCGGGCACCCTGCAGAGGGCCCTGCTGAGCTGCCCCACGGTCCGCTGGGTCCCGAGGCTGCGTGCCAGGCTGCAGCACGATGAGGTCGCACCGGCGCCGCAGCGCAGCACGGAGTGAGACCCGGAGGGTGGGACGAGTGGGCAGCACAGCTTCTCCCCCGGGCTTCGCACCCTGCTCTTGCTGTTTGATTACTGCTCTACAAAAAGAGCGCAGCAAAGGCGCGGGTGACTGGTGGAGCTGCAGCCTACGTGGCATCTGCTGCTCTGTGAAGGACGCTACGAGCGCACGTGCTCTCCAGGCTGCACTTGTCCGAGTCCTTCTTTGGACTGTTGGTTCCCTCGGGTCAGAAAGAGACGTTTCTCTTACGTCTCTCCAGGAAATTCACACAAGTCACTTAAAATTCCAAGAACTAAAACTAGGTTTTACATAACTGAATTATTTGTACCAACTCTGAGAAGCAGGGACATGAACAGACCAACATCATTCTAAGCTACACTCAAACTTCTCATCTCCACTGTCCACTGCTCTTGAACCCAGGCTATCTTCTTAAGTCACAGGGAAGAAATACACCAAGAAGAAACTGGGGGAGAATCAGCCCTCAAGGAAGAGTATTTCAAATCACTGGGAGTTTAAAGTGTTCTTCTGATCAAGGGCCCATTAATAGCACAACTTTTGCTGACTGAATTTTAAAAGCTTAGAGGCCACAAAAGCAACTGAATAGCAAGACAGGAAAAAAAGTTTCAGAGAAGCATTTTAAAAATGAGAAAATAATAAGGCTTATTCAATTTAAATGGCTGAAGCAGGGCAAATCATAATTTTACAAAATACCTAAAGCAGCACAGGTTATGTGCTGTCTGTGTGTCCCTGTGCAGACGCAGAGACACACACCCAGACAGCCACACAGCGTCCTCTCTCAGGTAAGGAGCTGTCGGTGCAAGCAGGCAATCAGAATTCACCACAGAACGCGCCGTCCTGTGTGTGTTCCCTGCCCAGCTACAGAACAGCGGTGGGAGCAGCCGGCAGCAGGACAGGACGCCTGGCCTTTAATCAGCACGCAGCAACAGGAGTCGGGGGTAATAAAAATAATGGGAGAGCCAGTGTACAAGAAAACCCAAAAGCAAGCGGAAGAAATTTAGCAGGGACATCATAAAGGACAGTAATGAAGCACAGAGGACCCCCTGAAAAGGCAGCATGCAAAGGGAAGAAATTAAGAAAATTAAGAAAATTAAGAAATGGAAAATGAAGAAATAATATTTCAATCTTTAAGGCAATGCGTCAACTAGCAGCTTGTGGGTAACCGTTTTCTTTCAACATTACTCTCAAATTTCAGGTTAATGTTTCATTTGTGAGCTGCGTTCGTACAAACATTTTAAACTGCACCCATACTGGAAATCGGTTTTTGAGCTCCCAAAAAAGCTGTCAGTGCCCCATCTTCCTTGAACATAAGGCATGCTCAGCATGCATCTGCTGACCTGCTTCACGTCATGATGTTCACAGTGCTCAGAAAGGTGCCATGTCATGTACACCAGCGTCCTTAAGGCCAGTCTCTATCATCTAGAAGTCTTGATCGATGACAACTGAGCCCGTTAACTCTATTAACCTTGACTATACCGGAACCCAGCCGACACCAACAATTCAAAGAGGAGAGGGTAAACAAACTTTTAAACTCTTCGTGTTTTCCTCTCGGCCCACCCCAAGTACCTTTGAAAATTTATAAACTAAAAGGAAATGAGGACATAACACTTCATATTTTAATAGCACATGTTTGAACACTAATATTCATCTACTTAAGTCGTACATGCTAGGATACTCTAATCAGCTCTACGTGAAGAATCTCTATTTAACTTCATGATAAGCTCAAGGGACTCTGCCAATGACTTCCACAGGGACTGCAGTGGATGCACCTGGCAAACAGTTCATTGTAGAGCCAGTCTGAGAAACTGCCCCATCCTTACCCAAGAGTAAAAATGGTTTACATGGCCATCGGCTTATCCCCCTAACAAACCTCCCCGCGAGCAGGCACTGACTTCACTACTTGAGCCTGGCCTGGGACTGGCCCGGGCTCCCC